TCTTTATCATAGAATAGAATGAAAAGCCATTTTCCGATCGATGGCTTAGAAAAACATAATTATTAAATGCGATGAAAATCTTCGGTTGGCCTTGACGAATTTGCAACGTCCCCTGTGATTGGTTAGGTTTAGGGGCGGGGTTGGGGAAAGGTCATTGTTTTCTATTGTTCTACACATGTGTGCCCTCCAATAGGATCACATCTTGGGGCGGGGGGGAGGAGGGGGAAGGGGGATGTAAAATGACTGGTGCATAAGAAGTACCTTCCATATACTTCCAAGGGCGRTTTCTTTGAGACTTGTCTCGGAGGCCGTTTAAGTCAAATGGTATRCTGTGTACAGTAGGTTGGTTCGAATCCAACACGACTTCCAATGAGACATATTCTGAAAGCAGGCAAACAACTAGTCTATCCYGCGCTGGTAATAATTTAACGCCGTTTGCATTGCTACGCGGCCACCCCAGACAAAAATCGCGACGTGCACTTTGCAATAGACTGCCGTCAATCAAACGCGTTGACGTCATTTACACGCGTGTGATTCAAAAGGCGCCAAAACTTGTCGATCGTTTACAAGTATTATGAACCACACATCAATGATGATGATGATGATGGTAACAATGATGATGATGATTATTAGTGGCGAATGTTGATGAGATTAGCGGCGCTGTTATAGTGGCATTAGGTAAGGTGATGTTTGATAATATTTAACATCGTCATTTGCGCTTTTAATATAAATAATAAGATTCCCTTGTATTCTTACCTTGGTTATTGGGAAACAAAAAATGAAGCTAAATAGGGTGCTCCTAAATCAGGTGAATGGATACTCTTAAATCAGGTGAATGAATACTCTTAAATCAGGTGAATGGATACTCTTAAATCAGATGAATGGGTACTCCTAAATCAGGTGAANGAAAATACTGTAGATTTCTACATTTGGCCATGGTTGCCTCATTTTTAACTGGCCGTGCACCATTTTGGATTTAGGTGTATATTGTTTTACAAATCACATCAAAACATACTAAGTATTACTATTCATTATTTGGAAAAAAATCTATTTCTGTGTCTACGAAATTCTTTAGTGGCTTACTTGTTTTTCTTGCAACAAAATCTAAGCTCGTCATGAATAATACAGACTAACATATGTTATAGGGCTTTTAAGTCGTGACGTATTTCCGGGTCCAATCACGCAAGAGATCGATAAAATCTTGCCACAACTTATTCCCAGGATTCATTCTCTACCTCCTACAATTAGACATACGAACAGAAAATCATGCTATGAAGAAAAAAATATCTGTAATTATTAAGTTGGAACCGGAAGTCGTCACACTTAACAGCTCTATAGAAAGACAGTGCACATTGAAATATGATTTGGACAGGCGGTATATAGGCGCGTCAATTGCTTTCTAAGTAACACGCACCCTGCTAAAGCAGATTTCGTATGATTGTGATATACATGGCGTCGTATACCGTCGTATGGCGTCGTATGGCCACCGTGACGTTTTCAAGACATCTTATTGGCGTTTTTTTCCCTCCTCGCGCAACGTGATCCGTTGCTTTTCACAGTGAAACAAAAACTGCTGCATAATCTGACGAAGGAGATGTATATAGATTATCTATAAAACCGAATAATCTCTATATGATCTCTATCAATAAATGTTTTTGTACTGCTTTACTTGATATCACATAGCAAAGCCACTCCACGTAGTATCAAGCGATCTGGGTTCTCATTGGTGTTCAGGTCCACGCCGACAATGTACGTCAGGCCTGCGCGTCGCTGCTTCTTATAAATAGGACAATGGTACAATCGATTATTCAATACCGCGGTAGAGTTGATCGCACAATTATGAACGACAGTGACAGAGGTGAAGCGGACTTTAAGTGCAGGTTCTATCAGCTTACAGCTTCGTCGAACCCTGATCCTGCTCCATCTAGATACAATCCATACACGTAGACACCTTCAGTTGGGGGACTTGTGATGTCATCTTTGAGAACCGTGTGACGTCATTGTGTAGGACTACGCAGTCTAGTGACCAGCCTTTGTGCGCACGAGAGACTACTGTAAACACAACAGTAACATACAAATNATACTCTTAAATCAGGTAAGGGATATTCTTGATGGTTGGTAAGGCATTTTTTATTCAAAAAAAAAATGTATCAAGGTGGCCCCACCTCAAGGACACTCCTATAGTAGTTCAAATAGGAGTTCGGAAAGGAGATCGTCAGTATAGCAGGGGATAAAATACATTATATATAACAGGGGGTGTTATCTGTTGTTATTTTACAACAACATGTGGACCATCTTAATCATTTCTTTAGCTATCTCYTTGCAGTTTTTAATCCTGATGACACTTTCTTTTGCTAAATCACGTACTTGGCTACATTCTTGTCCAATTGTTGCGATATCATTGTACATGTCTGAAGCTGTGAAAGAAAATGTATTCTTTATCAAACAAGTGATTGCACAACCTTTCTAGCGGTTCTTGTTTTCATGGCCTTAAGTGGCTTCTTTTTTTCCTGGCGTATGATTGGTTAAATGCTATGTTTTTTAGGCAATTTCATTGAGATTTAAAACTCAAAAAGCTGTGCTTCGTGATTTAATCGCACTGCTTAGAGCCAATCAGATTGCAGCTTAGTCCGGCAGCAGTGATTTCAAAATGGATAAAATTGTTATCAGAATATGTTAAAAGTAAAAAAGACTAGCATACAATAACACTTCTCGCGGGTACTTTGAAATTAAATTCAGTTAAATAAATTAAATTTAATTAATTAATTAATCTAGTTACTTCTAAATTAAAATTTAGAGCAGTGTTTGCCGAGTATTTGAGTAAAAGCGTAATGATTAGTAATCTAATTATACAGCTTCTCGTTAATCCCAAATAGGTAACTGTCCAATTATTTTCTTAATTGAACAGGTCTTGTCGATATGGGATTAATTAGGCAGCTATATAATTAATAGGTAATGGGATTTCATGCTCCCCAATCAAGAAAATATTAGACTCGAAAAATTCCTCTGACTGCCAAATTGGACTCGGTCTATGGCCTCATCCAATTTTGGAAGTCCTCGGAATTTTCCTYGTCCAATTATTTCTTAATTGGATAGCATGGAGTCCTATTACATATACTAATTTTGTACAATCTTTGTTTCGCGCGTATTGGATTTTTTTAATTCGCAAAAATTAGTACTTGCGAAAATGAGTATGAAGAATAAGGTAAATGCATGTCAAAGGATTGCTCGCTATTACCAAGAGTTATGCTTTCTTCGAGGTCCCTTTTGATCCGCAGAATCTCTTGCCGCTGATGACATTCGATCAATGGTAGCTGTCCCTCTTGTTTGACTGTCATACTTGTCATCAGGCATTTTCGTTTTCTTCCTTCTTTCCCTTTTAACTGTTTAAGTAAAAATAAACGAAAAAAGATAACAAATTTCCAATGGCTTTGTGTTTTGTATGTTCTCTTATTTACCACGATATGACGTCAACAGTTGGTTAAAATGTTATGCACTCACAAGGCATAGCCATAACTAATGTAATTTTGACCAACTATTAAAGTCATATCGTGGTAAATATGTGGACATACCATATAAAGGCATGCATTGGAAAGTTGTTTTTACCCCTCCCCCCCCGAACCCG